TATTTGGCTAAATGCACTGACGAGAAGCAATGTGTTGTTATTAACTAATGTTTGAGAAATTTACAGTCATTCGTTCAACAACAAAAAATGTTGAACAAACGTGAAGCACCCGCTCAAGCAATTCATTTTCTTGATTCGAATTAATCCGTTTCTCACCAAAAAGTGTTACAATATTGCATTTATATACGTTATGATAAAATATAGAGGAATTATATCTTTGTATGCTTTCGTTACAGTTAACGTTGAAGTGAATTAATCGTAAAAGTAAAGAATGAATTGTTTGGAATGTATGTAAAAGTGAAAGCATGCAAAAGTAAAGAATGAATTATTTGGAATGTGTACCATTGATATTTTGTTTGCTCGAAGGATCTGCAAACAAAATAAAGTTTATTGTTTTACGTTTGCTTTACATTTTTTTCACAAATCCACCTTTTGCACAAACTAAAAAAGCAAAGATTTACGGAATTAAATAACAGTTCATTTTGTTAGCCGCTTGCACAAACTTCTGGCTAATTATATTGTAGGATAACATCCGGTTTTCCTTCAATACTGTTACGTTCTTCCCGCTTATCGTCCCCTGGGTGCCACAATCTTTAGCTTTTATTGCAAGGTTTCCGATTTGATGCGCGAAAAAGAAATTCCGTACTGTTCTCGTCGCACGCTTTAATTTTAAATTATCATTTTTTACAAATCCATGTTTTGCAAATCGACCTCTTACAAATCCACGTTTTACAAATCCACCCTTTGCAAATCCACGTTTTACAAATCCACGTTTTACAAATCCACGTTTTACAAATGCAGGTTTTACAAATCCAGGTTTTACAGATCCACCTTTTACAAATCCACCTTTTACAAATCCATGTTTTACAAATCCACCTTTTACAAATCCACCTTTTACAAATCCACCTTTTACAAATCCACCTTNTAGAGAAATTATTTCTTTGTATGCTTTCGTTACAGTTAACGTTGAAGTGAATTAATCGTAAAAGTAAAGAATGAATTGTTTGGAATGTATGTAAAAGTAAAAGCATGTAAAAGTAAAGAATGAATTATTTGGAATGTATACCATCGATATTCTGTTTGCTCGAAGGATCTGCAAACAAAATAAAGTTTATTGTTTTACGTTTGTTTTACATTTTTTTTTTTCACAAATCCACCTTTTGCACAAACTAAAAAAGCAAAGATTTACGGAATTAAATAACAGTTGATTTTGTTAGCCACTTGCGCAAACTTCTGGCTAATTATATTGTAGGATAACATCCGGTTTTCCTTCAATACTGTTACGTTCTTCCCGCTTATCGTCCCCTGGGTGCCACAATCTTTAGCTTTTATTGCACGGTTTCCGATTTGATCTGCGCGAAAAAGAAATTCCGTACTGCTCTCGTCGCGCGCTTTAATTTTAAATTATCATTTTTTACAAATCCATGTTTTGCAAATCGACCTTTTACAAATCCACGTTTTACAAATCCACGATTTACAAATCCATCTTTTGCAAATCCACGTTTTACAAATTCACGTTTTACAAATTCACGTTTTACAAATCCACGTTTTACAAATCCACGTTTTACAGATCCACCTTTTACAAATCCATGTTTTACAAATCCACCCTTTACAAATCCACCTTTTACAAATCCATGTTTTACAAATCCACCTTTTACAAATCCACTCCACTCCAGTCCACTCCAGTCCACTCCAGTCCAAGTTTAACAATATGCCCTTTAATCCCCTCTGATTTTCTTAAGAGAATTGTCACCTCGAACTTCCGTGATATGAGAAATTTAATGTCTGTTGTTTTCGGATTGTTAAAAATGTCGTTTTGAGTACCGAAAAAAGGTTAGCTATTATTTTCGGAAAGGCGATAAGACCTAAGGTTTTCGGGAAATGGACAAAAAAGCCCTAATAAATTAGAAAATACTCAAGTTACCCTAGAATAACCGAACAGATAAATTTTTTTTTAGCGCAACCTTAAATTAACCTACAGAGCTTTAAAAGTATTCCAGATAGCCTAAAAATGCTTTTAAAAGCATTCGAGAGAAAACGGTCGTTGGGTGCCCCCGGGTCATAGCACGACTACCTGTTTCAAGGAATTTGACTTCTGTGTATTACATTCTTTATTTTTTTTATTTTCACGCGATTTTCAAAACTCAGAATTTTTCAAAGGATGCATGGGCTCAGTCGCGCTTTTGTCGCCCAGACATTTGCAATTTTGAAAGACAATATCTCTTTCGATTTGGCACCATAGAGCTAAAACGTTCACCAGTTACTACGTTTCACAAAATTGTTGTTGTCAATAACGAAATGCGCGTAGTCTAAAAATAGAATGCTAATTATTGGAGCCCTACGAGAGTCAGACAACATAGCCGTGTTCTGAGAGAAATGGGAGGAAACTGAACGCCAAATTTTCGTTTCAAAAATTGTTTTAGGAAGACTTCTTTACGCGCTTGAAAAAGCTTCAAATCTTCCACCATTCTGTTTTGTTTGTCTGAGTTATAACGTCACTCGCGCGCCTCGCAATT